AGAGTTCAGAGAAGCAGTTCCGTGGGAGAGATGGGAATTCAGGTGCTGAGTGCCAGAGGCGAGAGAAGAAATCCTTCCTGGGAGCTGGCTGGGAATGACAGGTCAGGAACGCTGGTCCCTCTTTGCACTCGAGCATGGAAACCACAGTCACTCGGGGAAGCATCTGTGCATTTGCGTTGTGCAGGCAACAGCTCCTCCCAAGCCACGCTGTCCGCAGGGTGTGCTGGAGGTAGGTGGACAGTGGCTCCAGACATGGAGAAGAAGCTTTCTTCCAGGGAGGAAACAAAACCCGGCCTGGAACCTCTGAGATTTCACTCGGTGGATCTGAATATCCAACTGGAAGACCAAGAAGGGGATTTTGGAAAATGAAATTGCTTAAGCTGCAAAACTGCGGAGAGAATCCTTTTTTTATGATCACTGTGTTCTGAAATACGGAGACATGCCGGGAACCGAGAAGACGTTGTTGTAGCTCTTCTGTAGTGTTGATGTAAATCTCAGAGTAAAGAGGAAACAGGTTTTCGGTCGTTTTAAGCTACCTTCTTAGGATACAGACATCATCACTAAACTGAAAAACGAAGAAGTCTGCAACATCGCTATGTCCTGAAGGAGATGAGTGAATTATCTGACACATTTATGCAAATTACATTCTTATTATGGCCATGGTTCCTTAGAGTGTCCTAAAACACAGCGTGCTGCCTTCTTTTTTCCACTCATGCACATTCATTTCTTCATCGTAACCCAACAGAAAACACAAGCATTACCTATCCAGTGGTACACGGTAAGTGACCCTCTTTATTTCACTTTTCTCTGAAACCTGAAAGAATATGAGCTTCACTCTGAGAGCAGCATCTTCTGAGGTGCAAAGATACTTTTATAGCTAAGAGCTCCGTTAAGGATCACTGTTCCTCCTACACCCTGCTACACCTGAAACTGAAGCACATTTCCCTGCTGAAATGAGGGGAGTAATAATCACCGTGTTATTGCAGTCAGGGTGGGAAGCGTCTGTGGAAGCTGTTCTCAGCTTGTGTCTGTTCCCTGCTGCGTAGTAGTACCAAGGATTAGGTTACAGAAAAGCAAATACCCTTTCCCTCTCAAAAGCGCCAAGAGCTGAGCAGGAGCACTGCCAAGGACACAAAGCAGGTGGATTCCAGGCATCACTGTTCTTTTTACATGGCACGAATGAGGAGAGAAGCCACTTTTGCAACGCATCTACTGCTGTACTTGACCTATACTTATAGTAAAACCTGAATTTCGATTGCTTGAACCAAAAATAAGTAGTACAAGCTGTATTTTGGTTTCTCCTCCATTTTTTATTTATGTAAGAGGAAGACTGGTCTTGAAGGTAGCTGCGCGCCTTGCTCAGGATCCCTCGCTCTCCCCTCCCATGAGCAAGGGCA